CTCTACTAAAAATACAAAATTAGCCAGGTGTGGTGGTGCCTGCCTGTAATCCCGGTTACTCGAGAGGCTGAGGCAGGAGAATCACTTGAACCTGGGAGGCGGAGGTTGCAGTGAGCCAAGAACGTACCATTGCACTCCAGTCTGGGCAACAAGAGTGAAACCCTGTCTCAAAAAAAGTCTTAAAACCTTTGGTATCTTTCATATCAAATGTATTTATTCATCCAAAACTTAGAAATCTTACTAGTCTCCTTTAGATGGCAGAAATCCAGCTCAACAGCTAAAAGGGATATTGGTTTAAAAAAACTAGGGTATCTTAAAACCAGAGGAAAATCAAGCAACTGGACTGAAAGAAGTGACAGCTGGAACTCAGGAATGAATGGAAATTAATGACTCCAGGACACTTTCTGAGACTTTGCACTGTAATATTGGTTCATTCTCTTGTGACAGACTGCCATCCTCTGTGGCAGGAAGTATGACTGCCACATCCGCCCACGCCTCACATTCCATAAGTTCTGCTGCTGGGAACAGAGCCCGTCGTTAGGTTGCTCTGACAGCTGCAACAGTAATAGTAAATAAACTGCCAGGTATGGAGCTAAATGTGGTGCTTATTTTAACCCATTTAATGATTTTAGAAACCCTCTGAGGTGAATATTATTAATATGCACCTTTTACACATGAGAAAACTGAGGAATGGAGAAGTTAAAAAACACTTGACTAAAGTCACAAAGCTTGGAAGTGGCAGAGCTGGGTTTCAGACCCAGGCAGTCTGGTCCCACCTAAGCTGATGATTAACCACTGTCATATTAGTTGAAAACAGTCACAGTGAGAGGACAGGAGGGTTTGTTTGTTTGTTTTTTTGTTTGTTTGATTTTTAGCCAGGTTAAAATATAGCAAGATAGGGTTATGGTTTTAATTTTTTGTTTATTCTTATAAAGGATAGGAGAACCGATAATGTTATAATGGGACTGTTTTTAGAGCTTTGAAAATTGCATGAGTTTTTGTTCAAAGAGACATTGTGATATGTGCTGCCTATGTAGCATCTGTCCTGTGTGCTATGTGGTAGAGCCAAGTTTTGCACTGGACAACAGTTGTTGTAGTGATTCTCAGTCGGGTGATTTTGCCCCTAGGAGACATTTGGCAGTATCTAGAGACATTTTTAATTGTCACAGCTTGTATGGGGGGTAGCTACTGGTATGTAGTGGATTGAAACCCAAGATGCTGCTGTGTTTCCTGCAATGTGAGACAGACTTCAATAACAAAAGAACTCCTCAGACCAAAATGTTAATAGTGCTGAGACTGAGAAACACTGTGTTAGATAAACTGAGCCATTTCTTTTTTTTCTTTTTTCTTTTTTTTTTTTTTTTTGAGAGGGAATCTAGCTCTGTTGCCTAGGCTAGAGTGTGCAGTGGTGTGATCTTGGCTCCCTGCAACCGCCACCTCCTTTAGTAGAGACGGGGTTTCACTGTGTTGGCCAGGCTGGTCCCAAACTCCTGACCTCGTGATCTGCCCACCTTGGTCTCCCGAAGTGCTGACATTACAAGCATGAGCCACCGTACCCAGCCAACTGAGCCATTTTCAAAATAAGTGTCTGTGTGTGGGATAAATAGGCAAGAAATTCTCAATCCTTACGAGAGTAAGTAGGTCAGGACGAAGTCTGATGTAGTGGTCATACTCCCAAGTATGAGGAGGGGAGGATCACATTAGCCTTGAGTGCCTGGAAAGAAGAACCATATACAGAGGAAGAAGTTTACAGAAGGAGCTGTAGGACAATGGAGCAGACATACCTGGCTAGTTCCAAAATTTTTCCCAAGGTTGGACTGTGTGCATACAGGTAAAAAGGTAAGGAAGCCTAATCTCCCTCTTCTCCATGCATACCTGATGATGGTTTCCTGTTAATAGAACTAATTTTAGGGCAACATTTCAGCAATATTCTTGACAAATATGGGCTTTGTTCTAATTTATAACATTGGAATGTGTTGATAAGGACTCAGGTTTATATTAAAAGAAATAGAGCCATTATTACTTTTAAAAGGTTATTTTGTGATATTTAGGTTTCAATTACAGCAACAGCCAATATTTATTAAATGTTTTCTGTGTGCCAGACACTAAGCTGAGTCAGTGCTTAATCTCATTTAACACTCATAATAGGAATTTAAGATAGTTACTAAAATTACCTGCATTTTACCAATCAAGAAATGAGTCCCCAGAAGGGTTAATTACCATCCTTAAGGTCAAACAGCTACTAAGCTAGAGTCCAATTTCTGGTTTGATTCCATAGATTAAACTCCTAAAACCAAATGGTATGCTGCCTTTTTCCTACTAAAAGTAATTATAGTCCTTTCTCATGATATATTTTTCATCTGTAGTTGCAGTATTGATACCACTAGGTAATTTTTTGTGTATTTGGTCTCAGTTCTCGTTAGTGAGAAAATTTATATATGTTTGGAAACAGTCATTCCATATATGTTGGAAAGCTTTTAAAAATTAAAGCTGTGAAGTATGCTACTTCCAAATGGTTTCTTCCAACATCTATTGAATAACTTTAGTAACCAATTTGAGGTTATTATTTGGGTGTGATGATTTAGGAAAAATGTTTATCCTTTCCTTTAATATAAAAGCTTGGTATTATTAAATGTGTTACAATGTATAAGGTAATTAAGATGAAATACTAAATATTTCCCTCTTAGCTTAATGTCACCTAATCCATTTGTGTAAAGTATTGTACAAAATCAGGCCCTTGAAATTCTGTGTAATAGAAATATTAATATAAAAAGAAGATAGATCTCCACCTCCCCCATTTGGGGAATATTGTTTCAAAAGGGAAGAACCATTCAGTACTTACCATATGTGAATAAATTAGATTGCTTTTAACATTTTATAAGAAATTTTTGTTTCCGTACATCGGACTTTGACCACTAAAGCAAGTAACTGTTACACTCTCATATTTATTTCCTCATGGGAAGCTTACAGTTAGAAACATATGCTGATGTTGGAGAGTAGGTGGAAGAAGGGGATGCCACAGGTGACAGGAAGTGTAACTTTTTTCAAGCTTCTTACAATGTGAGTGGCAAGTTGTCTTTTTTTCTCAATAAAAATATTGTTTTATGTTTTGCTTTATTTACATTTGCCAGCAACGGGATCTTTGGAGAAAAACACATAGCAGTTGGAGGAAAAGTACAGCAGTTGGAGGGAGGAGGATGTGGGTAGCCGTGATACCATAGTTTGCCTCCCCTTTTGTTACTCTACCTTCGAGGTTTGAACCTGGTTTCCTGGGTGTTTCTGACCCCATTTCCCACTTTCATCCTCACTGTATTGTGGAGATCTTGGGCAACATTTATGCCAATGCCGTATTTTCACTTTTTTCGCTCTGCAAACCTACTAAGTTGTGATAATTGCTGGCTCCCTGTTGTGCTTGTTTGCTGTGTTAACTTTTAAGTTCCATACATGGTATAGTTGTATAGAGTTGATTATTCAGTCTAAGAGTTAAATAATAAAAGTTTGATTAATCTTAAGAGATAGAAGATATCAAAAATATTTTATGTATGGTAAAGTTTTTTTAGATGGGTCATTAATTGATAACTTTCTTTAGGCTTTAATGGTTAAATGTGGTTTGAATACTTTCTTCTTTGTATTCCCAATAGGATTTGACTCTGCAAGAAGGAAAATATCCCTATTGTTTAAAAAAATGGTTTCTGTATTTACTTATTTGAGAAATCTAGTTTTGCTGTTAATTTAAATTGAGAAATATATGCCTCAAAAATTTTAAAGGAGTAACATGTCAAAATCTAATCTTTTTTCCCATCTTGCTTTATGTAATTTTTTTGATATGTGGAAAAGAGGGACAGGAGCTATAAACTCAGAGCCAAATGTGCTTTTGTTGTTCCAAATTCTCAGTGCCAAAAGCATATAAACCTGCACCTGTTGATAATTATGAGCAAGCCAGCCTTTGCCAAATCCCAGGCCTCTGCTTAAAATTTTTTACTGGAACTAAATGATGTTGCCATTTTTATTTTTAGGTTTGCTGGCATGGGTAATCTCATTAAGGTGCTAACCAGGGACATAGACCACAATGCAGCACATTTTTTCTTGGACTTTGAAAGTAAGTCTCTTTAGCCCTTCACAGCTGGTGCATAATGGTAAAGGTGAAAGATGAATTATACTCACCACAGTGAAGGCCAGCCAGAATATTTGTTAATTAAACATGGGAATCAAACAAAGGTTGCATGATTTTTTTCTTAATCGTAGGCAAACATCACCATCATATGTATAATTTAGTTTTTCATTTGCTAAAATCATGTTGAGTCTGTAGCCAGTGCTGTCCTTTCATTAGTCCATGAAGCAAGTAGCCTTATGATGAACATTCTAATAGTATGCTTTAGTGACTATGTCAAACAATGTTCGCTTATAATCCTATAATAATTTTATTTTAAAAATCAGAATTGTGCTGCATATCTTGAATCAGTACTCTCCATAACCTCCACAGATTATTAACAATCCAAATTTGGTTAGAAATATATGCTTTATTTAATTGCATGCAGGAAGAAAGTTTTATACTGTTTTGAGATGCAAAGGTGAGCCGTGGCCAAATGTATTAATATTTGGCTTTGAAATAAATTGTTGTTTCAGTGCTATACTAACAATACTACATGTAAATAATTCTTCATCAGAAATTTCTTTTTCAGAATATTAGCACTATTGGAATACTTAAAGAATTTTTCATTATAAGGCCATTAATGAAACTTGTCTTGGGAGAATTTTGAGAAGAATTAGAGCATCAGTTGTGCCATTGTGTACAGGAAAACCACATTTCACCTCTAGGTCCTACATATCAACACCTTGAGAACCCGATTTGCTGTCTGCCAGAGCACAGTCTGGGTAACCTGAAGAATGAATTCATGGCCTAATGAACATTTTCCCTGTTGCTATTTTTCTTTAAGTAAACTTCAGATGTTCTTTTTTATAAAGGGATATTTTCTCTTTTCTCATTCTTGTCTTGACAGGTACCTTAACATGGGGAATCTTCTTAAAGTTTTGACATGCACAGACCTTGAGCAGGGGCCAAATTTTTTCCTTGATTTTGAAAGTGAGAAGATGATTTTATACCTATTTCTCTTTGCCTGCAGTAGACTGCGTTTGTCTTGCACTAAATGAATGTTTCCACTTTGCCATCTTTTTAACTGCTTTGCATGACTGAGCTATGAATTGTTTGAGTAAATTTCTGGTGCCTTCTAGAACTGGAAGTCCTGTTTTATAGATTAAATTGTGATGATAAAATGTCTTTGAGTTTTTGTAAGAGATTTTATATCTCTTAGTTGGAGATTATTTTGTAATTTGAGATCTATTCTCTAATGAAAACATTTTTATGAAAAATATTAGAAAGGAGAAGTACTACCTCAACATTTATTAATAGAAGCAATATTTGGGGAAAACTTATATTGCAGTCAAGAAAAATCGACCAGGTTTCAGTTATTCTAGGGTACATATTTGAGTATTTCAAATATCAATCTGTTCATGAAGGCCATTCAGAGCTCAGTAATTTGGGCATAATATTAAAAGGTAAGTGTGAACCTAAATTATTTAATCTTTGCAGATAATTTGAAAAGTTAAAAAAATGGAATGTATTTATTTCAGGAATTTATTTTTTCTGACTCTAAATAAAAGGAAAAATAATGGGTTCACAGACCTTTAAGTAATTTGCCTTCTGTTTGTTTTATGTTGCATGACCTATTGTAATATGGTCTAAGAGTGGCAGGTAAGTGTCATTGACCTCGGTGCATGTTGCAAAGCTTTTGCTTTTTTTGGCTGTTGATACCGCTTTAGCTTGTCTGGTTGTCAAATTGAGAAGAATTATTAAATTGGTGTTTTAGTGTGAATGATGCTATTTTAACTGATCAATAGAAAATTGTTAGGAAAGGGTGAAGAGGTATTCCTTAGGTTTTAAATCATGTGATCCCTTATATTTTTATTTGAGGTTAAAGTGTTTGAACGTATTTTTATATACTTAAAATTTAAGACGTTTTCTGATTTTAAAAACAAAACAAATAAATCATTTAAAATAAACCCCCAGAAAGTCACTGCCTTTTCCTCCAACTTCAATTTAGTTTTTATGATTTAATGTGGTAATTCATTCTATTTTATGAACCATTTTAAACCATGGCAGTTCATATGAACACATCAATTTATAGCTATCTCCATTTTGTAGAATAATTTGTGGTCTCTGGTTATTTTCTACTTTTATTCCATTTCTGTAAAGAATCTGTTACAGTTTGGGTACTGTGTACAGGCTAGTAAAGAGTAGTAATATCAATATCAGGTCTATATGAAATTGAGTTTCAGGGGAAATCGGGTTTTTAGGGGAAATACTATTATATATTAGATGAATATTAGTTTTCTTGACCCTTCTCAACAATTTACCAGTGCTATATTAAGTGCATGTTTAGCATGACTTTTAATCAGCTTGAGGATGTTGAGCAGATTGCTGACTTGAAGATACTCTTTCAGATGAGGCAACTTACATTAGAGCTGTATTTTAGTTTATTTGCATCTGTGTCAAACTTGGTCTTGTGTCTTTTTCTGCCGTTCTGTCTCCCTTTTCCTCTTTGTCTCAAATTCCTTACATTTACAGAATCTTGACTTTGATACAGTCAAGATCTTGTTCAAGACTTGGCACTTGATCTTTTTGTAAACCTAGCGTTATATTTGGGTCAAGTGAGAAGCATGAATTTAAATGTAGTATTTAAAAGATTACTTGGTCTTGGCTTTCCAATCTGTGGGAGTGTTTGGATCATTTTATACACACATACACACACATACACTTTTTTTTTTGATACGAGGTCTCGCCCTGTCACCCAGGCTGGAGTTCAGTGGTACAATCTTAGCTCACTGCAACTTCTGCCTACCTGGCTCAAGGGATCCTCCCACCTCAGCCTCCAGAGTAGCTGGGACTACAGGCACATGCCACCAAGCCCAGCTAATTTTTCATATTTTTGGTAGAGATGGAGTTTCACCGTGTTGCCCAGGCTGGTCTCAAACTCCTGAGCTCAAGTGATCCACCCACGTTGGCCTTCCAAAGTGCTGGGATTACAGATGTGAGCTACCGCACCCGATACATTACTATAATTTAATAATAGTGACAGGAAAAGGTAAAAATTGCGAACAACAATAATAACTAATAATGCAGAAGTACATATAAATGTTAACTGTAAAGGCAGATATTGTTGCCTATATCAGCCAATGTAGATCTTTTGGTTTTATACTTACTGGTATACTATAAATGAAATTTAGTGGCGACATACTGTATACCAAAGTAGAGTTTACCCATTGTTATTTCTTATTTAGATTTTTAGATACATTTTCTTTTGATTCTAACATTGGCATTATCTTAATTTAATCTCCAGTCCATTTCTATATTTTTCTTCTTTTTGGAAATACGCATTTGTAAAAGCTTACCTTATCATTAAGCTACTACGGTGACCTTGGCCCATCAGATGGGTGCTCTCTTAAACTGTTGTATACTGCTTTATACCAGACTCAAAACTGCCAACATTGTTGATCTGCTAGTTCTCAATAACTTAAAATAAAGCCACATTATTTTTGATAGAGTAATTAGTACTACATTGTTTATTTCTAGGTGCACTTTAATATTCATGTCACCAGAGTAATTTAGTTTTACTATTTCTATTAATCTGATTGGTTAAGTCTATCCCAATATGTCTCTACAGTTGGGTAACTATAGAAATAATTCATGCAGATTACCTGGCTATTTGTATCATGTTATATACAAATGACATATTCTAGTGCATTTGAAATGTAATTTCATGGAATCTTGTAGTTTACAAAATTAAGATTGTCTTTAAAGTAAATCATTATTCCCTTAACTTACTACTCCTCTCACGACCCCCGTAACTGTTTTTCACTTCAGTTCAACATACATTTATGCCTTGCCTCCTGTATACCAGCCAGTAGGTGCTGGAGATGCAAAATAGAACTAAGATACAACCCATACGTGCTGGGAGCTCTCAATCTAGTAGGAGAGGATAGAAACGAAAGCTCATAATTTTGTTTTGTTTTGTTTTTGAGACAGGGTCAGTCTCTGTCGCCCAGGCTGGAGTGCAGTGGCATGATCTCGGCTCACTGCAGCTTTGACCTTCCAGGCTCAAGTGACCCTCTCACCTCAGTCCCCAAAAGTAACTGGGATTACAGATGCCCACCAGCCAGAAAACTCATAGTTTTACTTATTTATTTTCAACATGTAGCTTATGAAGATACCAACTTTAAATGGCAGTGAGTAGAATGAGAATCATCATGGAAGACCCTTTTTTTTTTTTTTTTTTTGGAGACGGAGTCTCACTCTTGTCACCCAGGCTGGAGTGCAATGGCATGATCTTGGCTCACTGCATCCTCCACATTCTGGGTTCAAGCGATTCTCCTGCCTCAGCCTCCTGAGTAGCTGGGATTACAGGCATGCAGCACCACACCCAACTAATTTTTTGTATTTTTAGTAGAGATGGGGTTTCACCATGTTGGCCAGGCTGGTCTCAAACTCCTGACCTCAGGTGATCCACCCCCCTCGGCCTCCCAAAGTGCTGGGATTACAGGTGTGGGCCACCGCACCTGGCCCATCATGGAAGACTTTCTGATGGTGATGTTTGAATTGGTTTTTGGAGAGTGAATGAGAATGTTTTGAACTAATATAGTGAAGGACAGTAGAAAGAAGGAACAACGTGGACAGAGACCTTAAGGCATGAAATGTTAAGTCTGTATTCAGTCGAATGTTTACTCTTGATAGAAGGATTTTTTCCCTTAGAACAGATTACTCCTAGATGATAAGATTTTATTTTGTTTTTATTTAATAATAGTTCAGTTAAAACATAAGCCCAAAATTGCTCCATAAAATTTGGCGGCAGTTATGCTATTGACAGCATATAAAAAGCACTCAATTGAGCTAGGTTCAGTGGCTCATGGCTGTAATTTCAGCACTTTGGGAGGCCACAGCAAAAGGATCACTTGAGTCAGGAGTTTGAGACCAGACTGGGCAACATGGCAAGACTCTATCTGTACAAAAAAAATTTTTTTTTAATTAGCTGGGAATAGTGACATGTGGCCCTGCAGTGAGCTGTGATTGCTCCACTGCACTCCACCTTGAGTAGCAGAGTGAGACTGTCTTTGGGAAAAAAAACAACAACACTGAATGGGGGCCTGTATACTCTTTTAGTTGTTGGAATTTCCTATTTTATAACAACAGTGTTAATTTATAGCTTATTCTAATGACAAATCTCTAGCCTAAGTAACTTCTGTATCTACTAGCTCACTAAATTCTAGTTCTTGGGAGAAAAGTGACTTTTATTTATTTTTGTGTCCTTTCCCAATCTTAGCATAGTGCTTTTTAAATGATAGAAGTTCAGTATGTATTTTTTAAACTTGATTTACTTACCTCCAGGTAGATCAAAATAGGAGAGTAAATAGAGGTAGTCATTTGTTACGGGAGAAATAGAATATATTTTCTCTGATTCTGTTATAGTGCCTTTCCATTGAGTCATGCATTTCCTCTATTCCTTGTGTCCTTTGTGTTACTTGTTTCCCCCTTATCACTTAGAAATATTGGGACCTACTCTAATTTTTTCAATTATCTCTTGCATAGTTTCAGTTGGTTTTGCCCTGTACTTTGAAATATCTTTATATCTGGTGTCATCTTTCTTATTTTTTTTAAATAATATAGGATGATATTTATTCAGGGATCAAAAAGCATAATAGTCTCCTTTAATTCATGCTGGAGACTTATTTATGTCTCTGTACCCTCTCATTCATTCAAAATGTATTATAGAAAATCTAGGAACTGAGTTTACATATGTACCAGTGGTACATACTCTACATTCTAGTCTCTGTCTTGATGTAACTTACAGGGATAGATTGCATAGGTTTATTAAATGAATTAATGTAAAATTAAAGCAGAAAGACCCCTTATCACAATTATAATTTTTATGTTGACTTTTTATTTTTTCATTTCATAGTTAGTCCTTCCTTCTTTTTATATTATAATGGCTTCAATTTTAGCAGTTATATTTAGTGACTCTTTTTCTACCCTCCACCCTATAGGAAATTAGTGTGAAGTTACTAAAATTTTTAATTTACCTTCAATAAGAACAATTGAAACATGCCTTAATTTCCCTTGAACAGCTTTAAAAACTAGGCTTGATGAGTAGTATGTCTACTACTCTCAGTAGTAGATACATTATTTTGCAATTTTGAATGTCCTTTTGTAAGCTGACTAAATGGTACTTTTTTTTTTTTTTTTTTTAATAGTAAAGCCATTTTTTTCTATGGAAAATCAAAGTGACAAGTCTTGGTTGCATTATATAGTACCGTTTTTTGAAAAAAAAAATAAATAAATAAAAAGCTTTATTTTATACAGCTTTCCCCCCTTCCTAGTATTTCACCCTTTTGCATGACTTGCTTTCAGTAAAGTAGTGCTTACTTGTCTGCTATTTTCTGTTTGTCTTCATTTCTACAGCAGTCTTCAGCAGCTTTCAAAATTATAAATGTGACTTTCCTGTGACAGTCTAAAAAATGTTCAATCATTGTGGTGCTGGGTGTTTTTCTCACCCTAAAGGGAAACTTAAATCTTCTCCTCTATTTTTAAATTTCTTGGTACTTATTAAACCTTTACTAGTTATTAACCACTTACAAGGTCTACTTAAGTCTACTTGATAATGTTTCGTTTGTATGTTAAGTCTCAGTGTCACATTTTTATGTTAACAGCTAGTCACCACACCTAAAATACATAGTCTAGCATTTTCAAACTTCACAGATACCTTTGATATATAACAGCTAAACTGTTGTCCTTTGTCATGAATTCCCACTTCATGAATTCAAACTAGATATGTGTCTACTATTGATGTTATGTCTGTAGTTTCACAATTCCATATGAAAAAGTGTAAGACTGTCGTTTTTTGCATGTAAAACATATTTTTCTCTACTGCATCTGATGTAAGTATAAAAGTTATGAAGTGTGTTTTTTTAAAAAGAGTGTATGTCTGACTATTACATTGGAAAATATGGTCTGGCTAAATGTAAAATATTTAGCAGTAAATTATTCCTGCTAAATAACAAAGCTTGATCTATAAGAAAGCTAACCATTTAGTTGCAATATCAGTATTTGTTCCTAGTAATAATACGTTTGTAGCCTTGGATAGAGAGTTTTTTTAATTTTTCAATTGGCTCCTCTTGTGTAATTATTTTGTCACAGTATTTTCTTCCTAAAAAAATGATTTCTGAAAAGAAATTTGAAAAATAAGGGAACAGATCACATTCTTAAGTTGACTTATGAATGTTACTTTATTGTTGCTGTAGTACTGTTTTACATATGTTGAGTCTAAAATTTGGTAATGTAATTATTGAATTTTTAGAAAATATGTTGTATATTTTTTACTATTTGGTAGGTTTAATAGGTAGAATTGAATTATTACTTGCTCCAAGCACAAAATAAAGTTATAGTTTTTAGGGATCTTTACTCCCAGTTTCATGTGTAACAAAGTTTCTTTACAATGTTCTAAGTAAAGGAATAAAGAAGTCATTGTGTATTTGTGGTGAGGTGAAAAGGAGCAGAAAAGTCTAGTTAACTAATTTTATATGATTGGTAGACAAAGATTTACCAAAAACCTTCTTTTTTGTTTGTTAAAATATTTTTAAACTTAAAGACCAGTGTGATAGTGTTAAAAACGCTCTTACTTCATCTTAAATTCATACTGATTCCTTTTCCCTCATAAGAGAAAATTTTAGCATGGAGGAATTCTGCCATTTTTCTCTAAAACATGATAATCAAATGTTTATGATTTTACATGCTTTATGCCTTACCTGTGGTGCTGAATGTGGCTTAGTTGGAAAGATTGATGAAGAAACCTTCATTTCCTCTTAGAGTCCACCTTTTTTCTTAAAATATAAAAGATTTGTCCTTAGAGAAACAAATGACCAGTATTATTAAAAGCAAGATTTCTGTTAACTTGAGTCAAGCAAAGAGAAATCCAGATTTAGTCATTCATTAACATATGTTTTGCAGCTAACACCACAGGTGGTGAAAATGCCCATATTTTGTGTCCTTGATTCTGCTTTTTATAACTGTAATTCTTCCTTCATTTTTCTCTTACTCCCAAGTGTGTAGGAACTCAGATTTTCTTTAGTATTTCCAAATTTCAGTAATAGTGTTGTAGTGTAGCTTAAAGTATCTAGTTTTCAGCAGCTGAGTAATTGTGGAGCAGTTTTATAACTTTGAACTCCTCTGCATAGGATTCTTGACCTTGTATTCACCAACAGAATAGTTCAGTGATACTCTCTTGGGTTTGTTGTTAAATATATATATCCTCCCTTCTTTAACCTATAGTATTTATGTTGAGACACTTCCGAGTGATTCCTGGCAAAGGGGGTGAGCACCTAAAAACTATTCTTTTAAAGTTTTTTACTTTTTAATATCAAAACTCAGTCATTAAAAGTAAAATGAACTTTATAGGAAAATGAAAATAGTTTGTCCTAAACTATAGATAAGCAACATGTTTTAGTAGGCTTTCTTTTGCATTAAAATCTATCATTTCTGATGCATTTACAGTGATAGTGATGGATGTAGTAGAAAAAGTGATTGTTAAAACTATCACAATTAAAAATTTTAATTATAATTATCAGATTGGTTTAATACACCAAGTCCTAATTTGGAACTTAAACTAAGTTAATAATGTTTGGTGTTCCCTTGTTTTCTGTAATATCTATAAACTTGAAACTAGTCATTTAAATGTAGAACTATGGAAAAAGTATTAGTCTTTCCTTAAAAAGTTCAAAGTTAACATTAACTAGAATTAACTCATCTTTGGAAATTTGGGTTGTTAATTGCTTAGAGTTACACATGTATTTAAAAAAATTCATGTCACTGTAAATTTTCTTGTGCTTTCCTGCTATTTAGATGCCCAGCCTACAGAGTCTGAGAAGGAAATTTATAATCAGGTGAATGTAGTATTAAAAGATGCAGAAGGCATCTTGGAGGACTTGCAATCATACAGAGGAGCTGGCCACGAAATACGAGAGGTAAATCACATTTATGTATTTTCTAGTTAACTAAAACTTACTGTCCCACCTCTTTGTAATCTCTTGTTTTCTAGACTTCAGAATTCTATATTTCATACTAAGTATTATATTTGAAGGATGCTCACTTGGCATTGTTTCAGAAGTGATAGCAGTGAAATGAGCATGAAAGGAAAAACTGCGTTCCATAAACAGGTAGTTTTTGTACATTAAGAAAATGTTATTTACTTTTTGGGTTGCTCTTATACCTGAAATTTGCAATATTTATATGGTGCTTCCTAGGAGAAAGTTGAAATCATCCTTGCAGTCAGTACTCCTTCCCCATGACTTTACACCACAAAGAAAATATGTAGTGTGGTCTCTCTCAACTTTCCTCTCCCAAACTTGTGAACTTTTTCAGATTTCTATTCATCTCATTTTTTGTTTCTTTTGTTTTTCAGAAGAAGCTGTGTCCTTGCTTCTTTCCAAGACTAACTTCTTTACCTTTATTCTTCATCCTGTTCTGAAACTTTACTCTTTGAATTATTTTTTCTCTTAGTTAAATCTTCTATCTTTTTTCTTTTACTGAATTCTTCCCTGTAGCGTAGCCACGTGTAGGTGTCCAGAACTACACAGAGGAAATCCCTGTCCCCTGGGTCTTCATCTTTCCCCTTCTCATTACTGCATTTCTTGAAGCCATTGCCCGTGCTGTGTTTCTTGATTCTTCCCATCCTCTGGTTTGTTTATTATTCTCTATAACAAAGAGTGCAGAGGTCATCAAGGTCACTCTTTGGGACATACATTCCATATCCACCTTGATTTCTCTTCTGACATTTTGGACTACTAAGTGAAGGCAGAATCAAGTGCAGACACCAGACGGTGGTGATTCAAAGCATGTGTTGGTGATTGACCAAATCTTTAGGGTAAGGGAAGAGAGAGAGTTAAATGATTCCCTGGTTTTTATTTTATTTTGAGACAAGGTTTAGCTCTGTCACCCTGCCTGGAGTGCAGTGGTGCAACCACAGCTCACTGCAGCCTCAACCTGCTGGGCTCAAGTGATCCTCTTGCCTCAGTCTCCCCAGTAGCTGGCACTCACCACCATGCCTGGCTAATCCCCTGCCAAATAGAGGCAGGGTTTTGCCATGTTGCCCAGGCTGGTCTTGAACTCCTGGCCTCAAGTGATCCCCCCGCCTTGGCCTCCCAAAGTGTTGGAATTACAGGCATGAGCTACTATGCCTGGCCCTTGTTTTTATTTTACATTAGCAGATTGTAGTGTCATTAACTGAGGGAAATTCTGGTGTGAATTCTGTTTCTTGATATGCACCCTTCCTTTGTTTTTGTCTAGAATGCCCTTCCTTTTTTTCTTCAAATCCCCCAATAATCTCCTACTTCCTCTTACTGTTTTTCCCACTTTACACACATATCTTTTGTGGGAACCATTCTTTTTTTTTGGGGGGGGGTAAACCATTACTGTTGAGTGTTTATCTCTCTACCACTGTACTTCCAGCTTGAGGAGGGTAAACCTGGTTTCTTATATATTTTGTTATTATCAGCACCTAATACATTGTAAACTTACAGCACTTAGTAAACAGTTGTTGAACAAATAAATACAAGGGCTTTAGTCTTGGCAATGTTATTGGCTTAAGTAAAACCCTAAGATTTCAGTAAACTAAGGCATACAACCATTTCTGTGAAATTCAAGTTCTCTAAACATTTAAACGTATTTTGAAAAATCAAACATTTGTGGAAATGAAAGATTTAAATGATTTAGTAGGATCTTAATTAACTAATTGGTAAATTTTTTATGATGGTTGTTAGTGCTACAAATTCATTTAAATTGTTTATAAGTGTTAGGTCATTAAACTTCTTTAAAGCTTGTTGTTATGAAGAGAAAAATCTTGCTATAGAGAGAGAAACAATATTCATTTCCTGTTTGCTTGTTTTTTTTTGTTTGTTTGTTTGTTTGTTTTTTTGAGGCAGAGTTTTACTCTTGTTGCCCAGGCTGAAATGATCTCAGCTCACTGCAACCTCCACCTCCCAAGTTCAAGCAATTCTGCCTCAGCCTCCCTAGTAGCTGGGATTATAGGCACCCACCACCACGCCCAGCTAATTTTTGTATTTTTAGTGGACACGGGACTTCTCCATGTTGGCCAGGCTGGTCTCGAACTCCTGATCTCAGGTGATCCACCCACCTCCGCCTCCCAAAGTGCTGGGATTACAGATGCGAACCACCTCTCCCAGCCTTTCTTTCTTTCTTTCTTTCTTTTTTAAAAAAATATAGAACACTTAGGCCTTTTTTTAATGGGGTTTTGCTCTGTTGGCCAAGTTGATCTTGGACTCTTGGCCTTAAGCAATCCTCCTGCCTCAGCCTCCCATAGTGCTAGGATTACAGATATGAGCCAGTGTGTCCAACCCGGGTTTTTTTTTTTTTTTTTTAATTGCAGTACTTCCCGTTTGGGAGAATTATTCTGCTTCTGTGTGTGGGAAGGCTTTCTACAATATGATAATAATATTAATAATACTGTTTTCTCTAAAGTCTGTTTATAGATTTGATTGAATCCATATTAAGATTCGTTTGTAATCTTCTGGAATAGAGTATAGTGGTAGAAAAGTTTATATATAGGATATATCAAAGAGACCTTCTAGGGCTGTGAAGCCAGGATCCCCTAATGCTATGACCAAAGATTGAAGTTTTGCATAGGATCCCATAGTCACTCAGCAGTGCTGTTTTCCTAAGGAACTATAAGACATAGCCACACATAGTTCACTCAAAAATAGTCCATGATTGGTGCTGTGAGAAAGTGTCTCCAAGTTGAAAAGAAAAGAGAAGGTTTACATAAAAAAATAACACTGGAGAACACAAAAAAATATAAGGGAAAAGTAATAAGCAATGGTAAGTGATTCATCTTACCAGGCTTGAAACAACTTACAAAGGTACCATTGTTGAACATTGATAAATGAAGTAATAAAAGATAAATAAGCATTGAAATATAAAATACGTAAGCTAGAAAACTGAAAAGCTGTATTTACATCTACTGTAGATGGGGGACAAATGTGTAACTATTCAGGCAGTTGAGATTTTTGTTGAGAAGTTGATGCGGGTTTAATGATACAAAGAGAAAAGATTTCTGAAGAGTAGAGAAACAAATTAAAGGAAGGTACAAATAAAAAATGGATATATACCAAATATACAAATAACTGATGTGTTATAACAGTCATAGATCAATAATTAAATTGCTGATAGTGTTAATTAATAAGACTTAGAGCAGCCAACTCTTCTATCTATGAAAAAGCCCAGACAACAGAAAAAATGGTCAGCTTTGCTAGTAAGTGCACATCACTGTGAAGAAGTTTTAGTTGGTTTGTGAAGAAATGGTAGTCTCAGTCACTTCAAGAAGTATTGTAAAATGGGTAGTCTTTTTGGAGGTCGGTTTGGCAGTATGTTAAAAAAAACTATAAAATTGTTTGTGCTCTTGCACCAGGTACTTATATTTTATAAAACATTCCAAACAACTGTAATTTAAGAGGAAATGTCAATGTAAAAGCTGGTATGGCTGCCTTATTCATAGTAGCAAAATGGGGAAGCAATTCACAGAGTTATTGTGAAGATAAAATTAGACAACCCATGTAAACAGCATAGCACCATGTCTGATACAAAGCTAACATAAACCGAGAATTTTCTTATTACTACTATACTAATGATGTTGCGTTATATATTAATATACTTTAGTTTAAATTTTTTAAACATTGCAAAACAGAATAAAATTTGATTTAAGATAGAATCTATTAAATAAACAATGCTTATTGTCTAGGATTAACCACATAGAGGGAAATAAATACTTTGCATTAATGTAATATGTCCATAACCGCCTTAACATTTTTTTTGTAAATTAAAAAAAAATAAATAGCCGGGTTTCGTGGCGCACACCTGTAATCCTAGCACTGGGAGGCTGAGACAGGTGGATCACCTGAGATCAGGGGTTCGAGACCAGCCTGATTAACATGGTGAAACCCCATCTCTACTAAAAAAAAAAAAAAAAATTAGATGTGGTGGCGCATATCTGTAATTCGAGCTACTTTGGAGGCTGAGACAGGAGAATCACTTATACCTGGGTGGCGGAGGTTGCAGTGAGCCGAGATTGCACCATTGCACTCCAGCCTGGGCAACGAGAGTGAAACTCCGTCAAAATAAATAAATAAATAGAGACTTGCTATGTTGCCCACACTGGTCTTGAACTCCTGGCCTCAAGCGATCCTTCTGTCTCAGCCTCCCAAAGTGCTAGGATTACAGGCGTGAGCCAGTGTGCCCAGCCAATTTTAACATTTTTGAAAATGAGTTATACCTGCTCCATAATAACCTCACCACTGACATTTACTAAATGCCCTTTCCCTTTTACATGTTGGCTATAATGGGTGTTGACCCAAAACCTTACCTAACAGAGTGAAATTATTGTGAGAGGACAAGGAATTAGAAGTATAAGGAAGAACCATAAAATATTTATTATAAGGGAGCAGCCAGTGTCTTCAGTTCTAAATCTAGGCAAGGCAGGGCCAGGGAAATAGTTATCTGTGCCCAGTTATGAAAATGGGTGACATTTGCTAGAGCATTTTTATATTGTGAGAATGAATTGATATTTAGAAAAGCATTTTTAGATCCTTGCGAGAAAAATAGGATCAACTTCTTTAAGAGAAGAAAATAAAATTTTAACTTTTATCTATTTGCTTTTTTGTTGTTACTGTTTTTTAGTTTAATAGACATTTATTCCTTTAGTTGAATAATCTCTATACAGTCAAAATGTATGGTTTAAGTTACTATTATTATTATTTTTTAGTAGAAAGGAATTTAGATCTCAACAACTTCTGTGAACTTTCTATGAATATTTCCTGGAAATCAGTTAACCAAGCCTTTTGAATCCCATAGAGAAGATAGGAGAAAAATTGGTCCAGAGAAACCAGTATTTAAATGAAAGCCAGCAAATCCAGAATTTAGAATTGTGCAATTCCTTTTCTGCATTTCCTTCGCACTCAAATTTACCCTGGGAGACAGTAGCCTAGTCTATGGGAAAACATGATAAAGACAAATGCAATACACTATGTTGGTATGTAAATGTTGGCACATATCTGATGTTCCAGCTTTGTGGAATGATAAGGATTTTAGGGTAGTTTGAGCAGGGACAAGAGAAATAACTGCAGACAACACATACGGTTAGATTGGAAACCAGGAACTTCTATTGGCTCCATTATGACTTTTCTATGTAGCCTGTGAGTGTGGACAGAGTGGATTGGCTCCAGATGTTTTTATTTGTAAGGCTGACTAGTCTAAGAATGATGTACATACTTCTAAATAGCCAGCTATTTTCCCCGGATGTGACTGAAGGATTCATAATGGTCACAAGTTAGTGTTACTGATAAGTATTTTAAAAACTTGATTAAAGTTGACTTTTTCTACCCTCACACTTCAAAGGTATTTATCTAAAGCCTACTGGCTTCCCATCCTAGCACTGATTAGTAGTTTGCAAAAGTTAAGGTTAATAATTCATACTTATATAACATTCAGTTTCATAATACACCAGTGTCAGTAGCCCTACTGACTACTATCCATTAATTTGTATAGAGCTGTGACATTGGAACTTTTATGTGAACTTAAAATGCTACTGTGGAGACTGAGGCAGTTTTGTTTAGGTTAACCCAGATTTGTTTCATTCCTAAGAAAAGCCTCTTGCAACACATTTATTATTCTGAGAAATGGTGGCATTTTTGCATACTTTTCTCTCAGAAACAGCAGTCATACCAATGGAACAATAAATTAAATTCAAAAATGTGGATTCTATTTGAGCCCATATTTTTCTACATATGGTCACGACATAGGGTTAAGGTATCATCCTCCCACTCTACAAATGTCTAAAGCGAAACTAAACTTAAAAAGTCTGTACTTGCCGAACCCAGCCACTTCAAAGTAAACCAGCACAGCGTTGCCATCACCCCAATAAAACTGTAGGATTAATCATGTGCACCAGACAAATCTGCAGAGCTAAAGAATTTATTTTAAACCTCATGTATCACACAGTGTGTTTTAAACACTTGACATGTAACTCCAAAGTTTATATTACTAGAAAGAAGACATACTATCACTTTAAGTTTTATGATTTGACAAAGCATTCAATAATCTGCAGACTGTTTTTAACAGACAACACCTGTAAACAGACGTAACTGTCCTAAGTTGTTAATTAGGTATTAATTATACAAACATTACATATATTAGTGGTGAAGGTGGAGCTGGAGAGCATTATACCTTCTCCAAGCTGCATGGCAAGAACCAGATACAGTTTTTGGAATTTAGGGACCATCCAACCCATTGCTTTTTCAGCCTGCAGATGTCAGCCCACGCATCACCATGTGCTTGTAGACTGGTTTGGTGATCTGCTGGGTGTCAGGACTCCTTCTATAGCTTTATGGAATTGATCAATGAGGAAAACCTCAAAAATGTGTATGTGGAATCTTCACCAACCCAGTAAGAATTCAGGACACGGCCCCACAGTGGCGTCCAGCTCACTCTTTTGCAGTGTACTGAAGGCTTCGAGCAAACTTCAGCAGATTAACACCATAAAGGACAGGCTACCTGTACGTTGCACCCTTAGGAACTGGGCATTTTCAGCCGCCACAGTACACACGAATCCTATATATGACATAACCTTGTGTGGCTTAGTCTGCACACTTTATTGGGCTGGGTGGGTCCAGGATCTCTGTGGAGAGAAGAGAACTGATGGTAGTGCCAACGGTGGACCATCAGTGAAAGCACACTACATCAAACTACTACTGCCTCCATGCCTCCTGGATGGAATTGTGTGTACCCATCTTGGCTTATTTGATGGCTGCCACTAGGCAGAAAGGCTTATTTACTTGTTTGCTGAATAACAAATACAAGAAACAAATTTTTACTACCTGATAGAAATCATTACCAAGTCTGGGCCTGAGGCCAAAGGATTTTTTTTTCATATATATCAGTATATCAGGGTCTCTTTGAAATGTCCTTATTACAGTAGAATGTGAACAAAGGATTGTTACATTTTGTAATGTCAGATTTTCTTCAGTATTACAGTATTTCTGGATTAATGACATAAGTAGGATTGACTTCAGGCTTCTATTGGGTTTAAGCATCATTTAAAAATATTGAATAAAACATCAATTTGAAAATGATGCCTAAGCTTATAAAGTAAATTGCTTACCCAGTATATAGCCCATTAATTCAGTTTGCAGCTAATTTGTTCAGAGCATCCTTTAGATCTGTCTGGGTTCAATTTTATTTTGCTTTCCTGTTTTTTTGTTTTTTGTGTGGATGGAGTCAGAGTACTAGTGCCTTGGGAGTATTGAGACATGTCATGTAACATCTTGATAGTGTGGATAAGAAGGTCCCTGGTTTAGTTCTGAATTTTAGATGGTATGTTTAGTTTGTTTCAAGATGTTAGAGAAAGTAAATCAGGTTGTTAAAAAATGTGTTAACTTCTGTAAAGCAGTACAAAAAACATCTATAAGCAAATGAAAGAGACAAAATATGTATTTTTGGAAATAACCCTCTATATTCAGAAAAAATTGCTTAATGATTTGAAAGACTGGGTATAAGGCCGGGCGCAGTGGCTCAAGCCTGTAATCCCAGCACTTTGGGAGGCCGAGGCGGGTGGATCACGAGGTCAGGAGATCGAGACCATCCTGGCTAACATGGTGAAACCCCGTCTCTACTAAAAATACAAAAAACTAGCAGGGCGTGGTGGCGGGCGCCTGTTGTCCCAGCTACTTGGGAGGCTGAGGCGGGAGAATGGCGTGAACCCGGGAGGCGGAGCTTGCAGTGAGCCGAGATCACGCCACTGCACTCCAGCCTGGGAGACACAGCGAGACTCCGTCTCAAAAAAAAAAAAAAAAGACTGGGTATAGAAGAAGTCATTTATATTAAGGATCTCTAGTTTATATTTTCTTCCCTTTCAGATTTGAAACTGGTTTTTTCATCTTATTCAGGAAAGCCTGAGAAAAATTGGTATCTAGAATAGGATTTTAGTTATAGAGAATAGGTGTCTGTGACAATTCTTTTTTTTTTTTTTTTTTTTTTGAGACAGTCTTACTCTGTCACCTAGGCTGGAGGGCAATGGCATGATCTCGGCTCACTGCAGCCTCCACCACCTGGGTTCAAGCAATTCTCCTGCCTCAGCCTCCTAAGTAGCTGGGATTACAGGCACGCACCAGCATGCCTGGCTAATTTTTGTATTTTTAGTAGAGACGGGGTTTCACTGTGTTGGTCAGGCTGGTCTCAAACTCCTGACCTCGTGATCTGCCTGCCTTGGCCTCCTAAAGTGCTGGGATTACAGGCGTGAGCCACGGCGCCCAGCCGACAATTCTTAAATCACAGTTTCAGCTTGATTTAGGTTCTTAAGTCGTAGGTAGTTTTCTTAATGCTAGTTTGGACCCTGGAATTTTAATTATTGGAAATTTCTTAGCCTGTTCCCAGAGTTGGCATATTATTGCCTTACTTTTTGAGTTTTATTTTCTTCTACTAAAATAATACTTTGACAAAGAAATACTAAGAGACTCTGTGCTACGGGAAACATACGCAATATTTTTTTTGTGGATCTGTTGGGCACCAAGGCATAATATATTTCACAAACATATTGGACCATTTTAAAATTTTCATTATGTTCATATCTATTGCAAGGATAACTAAGAATTTAATAGGTTGAAGTATCTATAGAGTTGAGAAGACCCACTCTTAGCACTCCTCTGTGGAGTCTGTGGAGTTGAGAAGACTCACCTTTAGCACTCAGTAGAATATTCAACACTGAGCTGTGCGTGGTGGCTCACGCCTATAATCCCAGCACTTTGAGGGGCCAAGGTGGGTGGATCACCTGAGGTCAGGAGTTCGAGACCAGCCTGGCCAACATGGTGAAACCCCGTCTCTACTAAAAATAAATTAGCTGGGCGTGGTGGCACTTGCCTGTAGTCCCAGCTACTTGGGAGGCTAAGGCAGGAGAATCACTTGAACCTGGGAGGCAAAGGTTGTAGCGAGCCAAGATCACACCACTGTACTCCAGCCTGAGGTGACAGAGTGAGACGCTCTCTCAAAAAAAAAAATAATATTTAACACTCCTAGGTTCAATATTCTGTATTTTATAGATTATACCAGGGTTTCCTATGTTTGCTAAAGCCTGCATTTTAATGTAAAAATGAACCGTTTTATTTTTTTTTAAATCTAACTATTTTTATTCTTTGGATTTTGAAGGCAATCCAGCATCCAGCAGATGAGAAGTTGCAAGAGAAGGCATGGGGTGCAGTTGTTCCACTAGTAGGCAAATTAAAGAAATTTTATGAATTTTCTCAGAGATTAGGTAAGTTGAAAGTTTTGTTAATTGTGACTTGCCTAGTGAAAAAGATGTTTATTCATTCCAGAAGTTTAGAGTATTTTATGTTCATAATGCTGAATTTGGTTTAGTATCTGTTTATAAGTAAAGCAAGTTTGTTAGACTGTAAAATTATAGTGTAATCTTCTTTCAGCCCTGGCCTTTTAATTCATTTAGACCATTTTTGTCCACAAGTTATTTTCCTCATCATCTGTGATTTTACATACATGAATCTGAGCATTGATTTTAAATGATTTTAAGAACACAAAAGTTTAACCAAGGGCCTGAGGATTACTTTCCCATATATGGGAAAAGGACTTACTGTAGAGATGGAGAGAGATTCTACCAAGTGATTTCTCATAATAGGACCCTTTAGCATCCAAAGAAATCAAAGAAGTTTTCTTGAAATTTTCACTGGTTACGCTCAGTTCATGTATATAAAACTGTAGAAGATGAGAAATAGGCTGGGCGTGCTTGCTCCTGTCTGTAATCCCATCACTTGGAGGCTGAGGTTGAGAGATTGCTTGAGCTCAGGAGTTCAAGACCAGCCTGGGCAACATGGCAAAATCCCGTCTTTAAAAACAAACAAACAAACAAAAATAAGCTGAGTGTGGTGGCACTTGCTTGTGGTCCCATCTACTCTGGAGGCTGAAGTGGGAGGATCACCTGAGCCCAGGAGGTCAAGGCTGCAGTAGCCGTGATGACACCACTGCACTCCAGCCTGGGCGACATAGTGAGACCCTGTCTTGAGAAAGAGCGAGCGAGCGAGAGGGCTAGTGATATACCCAAAGTTTGGGAAAAATTATTCAAAGTTCAGAATTGTGTCTTCAATATGAGCAAGCAAAATTGGAACTCCCTTTGTTGGAGGAGGAAGAGGCAGAGCAGGTAAGATTTAGCCAGTTAGCTCTTTGTGTGATTTTAAAGTTGTAAATTTGAAGCACTTTATTTTGTACAGTTATAGGCACAGGAGAGGAATAGTATAGATGTGTGTCAGAAATTAGAACGATTTGAATGTAGTTAAAACACATACTTTCATAAAGTTTGAATTTTTGAAACGTATAAATGTTACTAATTAATCATAAGAAAATCGTACTGTGATTGTTTGTTTTTTAAATCCGTAAGTCAGAAACCAGGGGGTATATACTGTAAGACTGAAGTCAAACTGGGGACCCAAAAGCTAAATTTAAACTTGAGATTTGATTTGTCTGGCCCACATAATTTTAAAATTTTCTAATTAGTTGCCAGGTTTAACACTTGGTCACTGTATGGTTTTGGTTTTTTTTTTTTTTTAAGCCTCCAACTAGCAATAATTAATCTGCATGTTAGTGAGCCAGAGCCACATGGCAAACCATCTCTGTCTCCGTTAGTTAGGAATTGTGCTTTCTAGTTTGTAGTAAGTTTTTATTGTTTCATGTTTTTTAATATCTTACTCTATATTTGCTACTTGGCCATTTGTATTTGTAACTTCTGAAGTTTAAGTTCCATTTTTAAAAAATGTCTATGTTCTGAAAAAAAGTGAGATAACTGCTGTTTTTCCTTTAGATGCAGTACAGCCTGTTAAATATAATGTTAAGACAGACAATAGTTTGGATAGAAATACTGTGTAAATTATCTTTTTCTTACTGGAAATAAGAATTGTAGTTTATTTTCCCAATTTTAGAATTAGTTATTTTACATTATTTGTCTTTCAATCAAGTGTCTCCATAGTCTGTAGCTTTGTACTTTATAACCCAATCAGCCTAGGTTTTCTGTCTTGGTTGTCTTGTCTACTATATACAGCTTTTCTTATGCTGGTTTCTGGCTGCATTTATAGTTAAATTGCTTTTGATGGTGCTCAGGTGCTATTCAAGCTCATCTTGGCCTTTTAGCATATCCCAATAAACAAAGAATACTTGTAAAATAGGCCAAACTAGTTGAACATAAGTCCTTTTTTTTTACCATGGGAATTGATCGGTCTCATGGTGTATGTCCCATCATGGGTGCTATTCCAGCACAGACAGCACCGTGGAGCAGCATGCAACTGTGAAGACGCACATGATCCTTCAGAATCTTGCAGTTCTAAGGAGAAGGTTTCTTGGCCTGAGCACTACAGATACACCAGGGGTTATACTTCAGAAGAAGGACCCTGATCCCTTGCCAGTTTGCATACTTACAGTGGGACAGGGCAAGGATTACCTGCTTAATTTGAAGATACTCAGTTTTGCTGACAGGGTCTAACCACACTGCCCTGGTAAACTTGCCATACTTGCTTGTTCTGTACTTGCTTGTTTTGTTCAGAGGCCTTGGAGCCCCTCCTGTTGAGGCAGATACCTAAGGGAAGGTTGTATGGTCAGGCAGTAGGACAAACTGCTTTGTCTCCCCTCCTCAGTCTTCCTCATGCTTTAGGGGCTTACATTAGGGACTGCCTCCAAGGGTCATAATAAGTCCCTCCAACGTGTTAGCTTCTTTTCACTGGGCAGAATTTATCAAAATGTATTTTAAAGGCCCCAAATGCCCACCGTAATTGTGGTCATGACTCTTGGTTGTCTTAAATCCTTTACAATCCATGTCCTCAGGTTCTCTTCTGAGGATTTGAGAGTAGATAGATGGCAGTTGGTGAGAATAAACGACTTATCTCTATAGGGAAACTCTCCCCAGGGGCCTCCTCTTTCTAGTCAACTAGTTATTCTTCCCTGTCCTAGCTTGTGGACTGATTTGTCATCTTTATCATTCCTTCTGGTTGTCTTTTCCTTGCAAGCACCTTCTATGGTTTTGGCTCCTGCACTTATCTACCAGCTTCCTTTAGTTCTTCCAGAATTTAGGGCTTAATAGCCTATTAATTTTCTCCTGGTCATCTGCTTTTTAAAAAATCACAATCTTATGGTTTTGTTTTAGGAGCTTCATCTGAGTCCAATCCCAGTCATCTTTTCTTTGTTCTCTCTTTCTCTCCAACTCATCCAGAGACCTCTGGCACATTTTCTGTGGGTTCTTTGTCTCCAGTTTCTCTCTTGAGACAGAGTATTGTAGGCTAGTAGGACTGACTTGTGCCGGCACAGGCCTGCAGGGTGAGGCTGATCTAGCGGCTTCAAAGGCAGATTAGCAGATTTATCATCTTGAGTTTCCCTTTCATCGTAGATCTACCATTGAGGGCCTCAGCCATTCATAGACAAAAGTTCTGCAACTAATGGTCACTGACCATCCCAACTTAGCCAAGCAACCTGACTCCAATCCCAAAAGTGGTAGAGAACTTGGAATGCTGAAATTAACCCTGAGACCTGATAAAGTCTAGGCAAATGCATTTTTCTTTTTTGCTTTAACAGACTATAATAATATTTTGTGAAAATGTTTTTTCTGTTCTGTGTCTCTCTTAGTTTTCCACTTAACACCAACACATAGACTGAATCTTTGGAGAAGTAAACCATTTTTAAAATATAACCCAAAATGTTTGACTTTTAATTGATCTTCTTCACATCCACTGTTACACCTTGATACACCATCCATACCCCTATAGTCCATGCTCCACACTGCTCCACACTGCAAATGAAGTAGCATTTTAAAATGCTAATCTGATGATGCCACTCCTCTGCTTAAATGATTTCTCCAGGGACGTTAGGATGCCAAAGCCGGAGTACTTAATGTGGTACACAAATTATGTGTGTATTAATTATGTTAGTCCTAGTTACCCTCCTGATTGCCCTCTGTACTCTTATATTGGTGGTCTTGCAGTTCCTCAAGTATGTCATGCTCTTCTCAGTTCAGGGTCTGGCTCCCTGCCTTTCTGTCTGCAAACCCATGTTCATCCTTACTACATACTTCAGTCTCAGTCCACGAGTCACTTATTCAGGGAAATCTTTTCCTAGGCCTTCCATTAGGTGAGCTCTTATTTTTATACCTTTCCACTGTACTGTGTACTTATTTTCAGCACATATCACAACTGTAATCGTTTGTTTTCTCTATATATAATAAGGCTCCATATGGGCACAGGGAGCATGTCTGTCTATATCCATTTTCCCAGTGCTTGGCACAGGGTAGCCAGTCAATACATTTTCTGACTTACTGGAAAAAAAAAAGGATAATAGCTGTCATTTAGAGTTATTGTGTGGATGAGAAATAATGTCTGTGAAGAGATAGTTCAGTACCTGGTATCTAACAGACACATAAGTACCTACTGTTGTTTTTAACCAGTAGATTAATGTTTTGTAGGGTTACAGAAGTAATTGGTACTATTGGTAGTAATCAGGAGGTTAATGTTTTATAAGGTTACAGAAGGCTACGTACAATGTTGCTTTATTTCAGAGAGTTCATTGTGGTAGAAAGAATAGGGCTTTGGAGTCAGAAATACGTAGCATTTACTAGCTATAACTTTGGGCTCTAAGCTCTTTGAAACTCATTTGATCCATCTGCAATGACCATGTCATAGTTGATGGTGAAAATCAAATGGGAGACTATATTCAGTGTACAGTAGATGTTGACTCATATGTAAATCTTCGTAAATAGGAAAACTGGGGTTTTTTTTAAGTTACGGGCTGATGACCAGACATAAAGTTTTAAATTTATCATTAATATTTGTTTATTAATCTGACATTTATTAACGTCAGATCATAATTTAACTCTGTAAGCTCTTATTTTCTCTGACCGGAATCTAGCAGCATTTCCCAGTTCTGTGATCTGTAACTGAATTCGTTTGATTTCTATGGCTTTTTGAAATATTGAAATGAAATATTAGTATTTAGTATTAGTATTACTATTTAGTATTTCCATTATCAAACACGGTATTTATTAGCCTAGCATCCCAAAAGTAGCACTTACTTCAAAGGGACCATTTTGCTCATGTAATGAATTAGAATATTTATATTGTAGCCTTGAAATGTCAAGTTCTAAGACAAGAAGTTTATTGAACCACATATTTTGTTCTCTTTAGTAACGGAAAGCAAACAGTTTGTGTTTATAAATGAAAAACATATTCAAAGTATGAGAAATTGGTAATTGATTCATAGGCATATACAAACAGTGTGGACACAGTGCCATTGAAGAAAGTTACTCAGTTGTAGATAATAGTTACCATTTCATAAAACCAAATTCCACACTGTGTGAAATTATTAAAGTAATATAAAATTTGCCCTTTGATTCTGGTGTTGAATTCAAATTCACTTCTGCACTATTTTCATTCTGGGTTTACAGAATTATAAACCCTTGAATTAGTCCCTTTAAGGTATTTTGTTAAACGGTATTCATAATGTGTGCAGTACATTAGTAATGGCAACATTTAAACTTCTTAATTAGTTTTTATTATATTTAGATCATCTGTTTTTTAAAGGGAACTTTTCTGGGAATTAACATTTATGAATTGTTCACTTTTTAATAAAAAAAATCACACAGATACAAACACTTAATGTTTTTTTCAATTTTTTTCTTTAGAAGCAGCATTAAGAGGTCTTCTGGGAGCCTTAACAAGTACCCCATATTCCCCCACCCAGCATCTAGAGCGAGAGCAGGCTCTTGCTAAACAGTTTGCAGAAATTCTTCATTTCACACTCCGGTTTGATGAACTCAAGGTAGAATTATCTATTGGCCCTGATTGTTATGAAAATCATGAATCTTTTAATGAGTACTGGGAGAAAAAGCTGGGAAACATTGTTAAAACGTATTTAAATGATGTCTGCTAGACCTTAATAAAAATGGAAAACTGGATTTAGAAATTATGACTGGTCTTTTGATATATGGCAAAGAGCAAATTACTGAGGATTCAGTCTCAATCTTTTTTTATTTTTTGAGACAGAGTCTTGCTTTGTCACTCAAGGTAGAGTGCAGTGGCGTGATCTCAGCTCACTGCAACCTCTGCCTCCTGGGTTCACGTGATTCTCCCACCTCAACCTCACGAGTAGCTGGGATTACAGGCATGTGCCACTATGCCTGGCTAATTTTTGTGTTTTTAGTAGAGACAGGGTTTCACCACGTTGGCCAGGCCGATCTGGAACTCCTGACCTCAGGTGATCCACACCATCTCAGCAGTCTTCATTTAACTTTGTTTAAAAATTATCTCTGAAACAAAATGTTGAGCTTCTTTTCTAATGTTTTTTCTTTTCTGCTCACACCCCCTGGCCCCGTTTTTCAACAGTTTTATATTGAAATGTTGCTAAAATTTGTTTTTTTCTCCCTTCCTTCTTTCCCGCTTTCTTCCTTTCTTTCTGTTTCTTTTTTCATCTGTCATTGTTTATAGTATTTGGAACTATAAATACCTTGTTGTTAAAAAGAATGAATGTAGAGGAATAAGCACTAGGTCTCGTATCAAGAGACCTGAGTTCCAGTTTGTACTCTGCCACAGTAACCCCAGTCATGAGATGTTGGCCAGGTCCTTTGGTTTTTCAGGGCCTCTGGTACCCTCTCTAGAAAATGGAAGAGCTGGATTCCAAACTTCAGCATTTTATAATTGTATCACAGTCAGATTTGTATGTAAAATTCTAGGTTGAGGATTGCTCTGTTGACCATATCTACATTCTTTTATCGTAGTAACTAAAAACAAGTGCCTAAACAGTCCTTTTTGTTTTTGTTTGATAAACAAGCTTTTAGTACATTACCTGAAATTAACTGAAAAGAAAAGGGAAAGTATACTGCCTGTGGTCTTCCGTTTTATATGTTCAGTAAGGACTGAATACAGTTATAAGCCACCTTAGATTATACCAGTTCTAGTTCTTAAAATGATACTATGAATTATGCAATGTTTTATACTAATTAAAACTGAAGATTTTTCACTTAATTTTTTACATTAGCATTTAGTACATAACATTTTTTTTTCCCACAAATGTCTTATTCAGATGACAAATCCTGCCATACAGAATGATTTCAGCTATTATAGAAGAACATTGAGTCGTATGAGGATTAACAATGTACCGGTAAGTTAATGCTTTGAATTAGGGGGATGGTAAGAATAACTTAGAACCTGTTCATTTTATTATTTTGTTTGTTCATTCAGATAGCATTAAAGCTAGTAATAAAGATAGTAATTATGGGCAGCCACAGCTGTAGGAAGAAAAGCAAACTGTTAACAAACCGTATGGTATTTACCTATTTTTCTTCACAGTCTCTTAAATTCCCACAACTACTTCAGTAAAATTGCTTGTCTGTATAACGTTGATGCTTATAAAATTTCGCGATGTACTCTCATTTTAACTGTACAGAAATTTTGTGAGTTCATAGTTACGAGTGTTTTGTCTCCATATTCTTAGAATGGAAGTCTTAGAGAGAAATTATCGTGAGTTAATTTCTCGGAGAGAAATCTTGAACCCAAGTCAGTTTTCCTCCGAGAAATTAATGGTTAATGCTGGCACGAGGGGATAGTGAGGTCATGGCCTGTTAACACATCTGTGCCTGATATGGCTGTTTGAGAAAATGGCTTGTGCCTGCTCCTTGGCTAGTATAGCATTTCTTCTGGCTTCTTTAGGTCTGTTAACCTCTTACCATCCTCCTCTTAAGCTGTTTATTACTCTTTTCTACCTCCAAGGAACTAAGTACCGTTAAGTAAAACTAGAGTGGAAGAAAATATTAGCTTGTTCTCTGTGTATTCTGTGAACCTTATAATTGTTCTGAAAAATTTCAAAGATCAACCCTTGTTTCAGATAGATAGTTGAATAGAGAAGTACTATAACTATGTAAGGAGTGATAAGTGGCATAAGAGATTTAAAATATATATATATCAAAGACTATCACTCATTTTCTTTTTCCTTGAGAAAATATTTTAGGAAGCGCGTGCACTAAGGCGCTGAGTTGGAGGAAAAGATTCCTCTTTACGAAACATCTGTTACTTGCACCAATTTGATTTTTGCATTGACCAGTTCCTGGTGTGAGACTGACCTTAACATCTGTCTTTTTCATACCTACCATGTAAAATAAGATAAAAGCAAAGCAGCCAATCGTATACTATACCCATCCTTGCCATCACTTAAGGCTAAAGACATTAGTCATCTTGGTTCTTCCTTTTACCCTCAATAATTACAGGTAAAAGCCAATTGTTTTCCGAAGTATCTCTGAAATGTCTTCTCCATCCCCCTTTCCATCTCCTCCTCCCACTGTTCCAACAGAGAGCCTAATTCCCACTCTTTCTGCAGTCATTCTGCACAGCATAACTCATTTTTCGGACCTACAAGTCTTTTTCCATTTTCTTACAATCCACCCATGATGATCAGTTAATTTTCTTTAGGAAATTGACTTAGTTGTCATTCCTTTCATCTAACACTCTAAATGGCTCCCCATTCCATATGGAAGAAAAATATGAACTTAAGCTAGCATTTAAGGTACTGTACAATACAGTCTGACCCCAACCTGTATCTTTCATTGGTTGCAGCCACATTACACTGAATATGCTGAATTACTTTCTAGGGAGTCATTTGAAAACATACTGTTTCCCCTGCCAGATTGGAATACCTTGTTTACCTGCCCAATATCACCTGCAAAAGGATAACTCTTCTCCTTAGTTTCTTCTATTCCAACTTAATATTCCTCTGACTCCCTTTTTGTGTTATCACCTGTTAGAATCTTACCGTGGATGTTGTATGGATACTTAATTGTTCATGATGGAGGACAGGGTACAATTTTATAATCATTTTTCTGTCCTCCATAACATTTAGAATCTCTTGTATGTAGTAGTTCATCAAGGTTTTATTTAGATTCCTTAATATCATTTAAAATATTTTTGAAGAGGTTAATCTTTTAAAAAAAAATAACTTCAGATCATTTGTAGTCTTTTTTTTTTTTTAAAGAATATTTAAGTATTATCGATACATGAGAGTCTAAAATGTAATTGAGGCAGGCACCCTGCCTGGGTCCTTTTATAATTGTTATTGTATGTAATAATTCGTGAACTAACATCAAATGCTTTTACCTTCCCCACAGGCAGAAGGAGAAAATGAAGTAAATAATGAATTGGCAAATCGAATGTCTTTGTTTTATGCTGAGGCAACTCCAATGCTGAAAACCTTGAGTGATGCCACAACAAAATTTGTGTCAGAGGTAAGCATTGCCTAGGCAGCTGCTCTGTGTTGTTGCTCATCCTCCTGTTGCAGACGTGATCTCAGCAAGCCCAAGACATTAAATACCGTCTTGAAGCCAACAGACTCCCAGATGTATGCGTTGAGTCCTGACTTTTTTTCTGAGACCCACATGTGCACACCTGTCCACCTATTTGCAGTGTCTCTGGAGTGGTCGACACCTCAGTGATATCTGATGGTATGGCCAAACCAAACTCTGGGTTGCCTTTTGCAACCCTGCCCTTTCTTTAGTTTTTGCTTTTTCAATTAATAGTACCAGTGCAGGCAAAAACTTACAAGTTATGTCATCCTAAATTCCTTTCTTTTTTTTTTTTTTTTTTTTTTTTTTTTTTTGAGACGGAGTTTCACTCTTGTTGCTTGTTGCCCAGGCTGGAGTGCAATGGCACGATCTCGGCTCACCACAACCTCTGCCTCCCAGATTCAAGCGATTCTTCTGCCTCAGCCTCCCTAGTAGCTGGGGTTACAGGCATGTGCCACCACGCCTGGCTAATTTTGTATTTTTAGTAGAGACAGGGTTTCTCCATGTTGGTCAGGCTGGTCTCGAACTCCCGACCCCAGGTGATCCACCCGCCTCGGCCTCCCAAAGTGCTGGGATTACAGGCGTGAGCCACCATGCCTCGCCATCATCCTGAATTCCTTTCCATACCTCACTCCCTACATGTATTCCATCAAACAGTCTCGTTGGCTATCCCTCCAAAATATTAATATATCATGAATATGAAAAGTTAGTTTCTTGCCACCAGCCACATCAGACTTCTCATCTGGATTACTGCATTCGTGTCCTGACCATTCTTATTTCCTCCACTCTTGCCCCAATACAGTCCTTTCTCCAGAGAGCAGCCAAGTAATCTTAAAACATAAACCACGTTTGGCCGGGCGCGGTGGCTCAAGCCTGTAATCCCAGCACTTTGGGAGGCCAAGACAGGTGGATCACGAGGTCAGGGGATTGAGACCATCCTGGCTAACATGGTGAAACCCCGTATCTACTAAAAAATACAAAAAAAAACTAGCCGGGCGAGGTGGCGGGCGCCTATAGTCCCAGCTACTCGGGAGGCTGAGGCAGGAGAATGGCGTGAACCCGGGAGGCGGAGCTTGCAGTGAGCTGAGATCTGGCCACTGCACTCCAGCCTGGGCGACAGAGCGAGACTCCGTCTCCAAAAAAAAAAAAAAAACATAAACCACGTTCCCTCCCTCCTCCATGTAAAATGTTCCCAGTGACTTCCTAGTACCCTTAGGATAGAATCCAACTATTGCATAGCCTGTAAAACTCTATACCTTTGACCCCCTGTCTGCATTGTTGCAGTTGTTCTTACACAGCTGGAATGCAAGTGCCTTTCGGAAGAGTACTGCCTTCGCTATCTTGCTCGTAGCTGTATCCCCAGTGCTTGGAACAGTTGCTTAGAGTCTAGTGCATTATTTAGAAAATTAGGAGTAGGAACCAGGTTTTAAAGTTGCTAATTTTTCACATTATGCTAAATTTTTAATTGTGCTTAAGTAATAACTGTTTGTTACTTTTACTTTTTTTGTTCTTCATACACGTCTACAGAATAAAAATTTACCAATAGAAAATACCACAGATTGTTTAAGCACCATGGCTAGTGTATGCAGAGTCATGCTGGAAACACCGTGAGTATCAGCTGATCTTTTTCACTTTAACAGTGCTGTTGAGATGACTGATATTTCAAAACATGTTCATATATGAACATGTTTTATCTGGAAAGTAGAAAGTAAGTATATTCCAAATATTGAATATTAATATGTGAACAAACTTAAAATAATTTGGCTATTTAATGTAACTTCTGGTTAAGCATAAAATAGAGTTAGTTGGTCTTCAGGTACCTCAGACTAGTCAGTCTGACTCAGACCCTTAGTTCTCTTCTCAGAACAGAAATGTGGTGGTGGTTTTTTGGTGGCTGGAATGTAGGAGAAGAGCTTTAAAGCTCCTTGGTTATACTTACCATAAATGTTATTTTTCCATATTTAGTAAAGAATCTTACCCTTTTGCCAAAGGGCTGGAATTATTCTTCTGTTTATCCCTTTGTCTCTCAATTATTAATTGTCACTCTTTTTTGTTTTTTCCAACGCGAACCTGAATTCTTTTTTTTTTCTCTTCTCTCTAAAGCATTTATGATGTAGGATATAGTGTGTCCTGGCTAGATTTTTCCTGTTAGCAGGCAGAAAGAATCCCTCCTGGATTCCAGAATTATAAATACAGTCATGTGCTGCTTAATGACGTTTTGGTCAACAATGGGCCACATATACGATGGTCCAAAGCACTATACTGTACATCTTCTCATTGGAAAACCTTATGAAATAGGAGGGCAACTATCATCATAATCCTCTTCCTTCCCCCCACCACCGGCTTCAGGCAGTGAGGTCCTGGGAAACGAAGGGACAGTATCCATGTGCTTGGATGTCTCTATCTTGGTTCCGTACTCTTTCTGCTGTGATATACTGCCTTCTGTATATAGATAAAAGTTCAGTTTTCTTTTTCACACATGAGAGGAGAATAGGATTGAGTTTTAGTAAAATTGATATCCAGTAATACTATAATTTATTTAAATCAAGTTAGCCCCTAAATAGCCAACCTGCTTGCTCTATTAAGCTAGTGATTTTTCATCATAGGTGGTAACAGCCTTTATGTAGCACCCATTCTCTAAAATTGTTGCTATCAGTCTAGCAGAGGAGTAATACACTAATGTGGGTGCAGATATTATAGAAACCAGAATACATGGGTGATGACTGCTCCACTCACCATCTTCTCATATCTCTGGGGATCTCATTGTGGAGTAAGGGGCATAATGTTAGTGTCCCTTTTAGAGATCAAAGCGGCAAGTCAGCGTCAGCTTAAAGGAGAATCACCTCATTAAAGAATTTTGTATCTCTTTCAGGGGGTTGGTATGGAAAGGAAAACAGACATAAGATTTGAATGTATCAGTGTGGCTACTTGTGAACATACTGCATTCAACTGATTGATAGAAATTTGAATAAAATATTCCAGAAAAGGTTTTTCTTGTGCGTGTGTTTTAAAAAGAATTTTGTAATGCACTTCTTCCATGCATATCTTATCTACTCTTCAGGGAATACAGAAGCAGATTTACAAATGAAGAGACAGTGTCATTCTGCTTGAGGGTAATGGTGGGCGTCATAATACTCTATGACCACGTACATCCAGTGGGAGCATTTGCTAAAACTTCCAAAATTGATGTAAGTTATTGTTTTATGTAAGTAATTTCAAACGAGTTTCTCCATGGAAACCATAGGATTTTATTTTATGATAAGAGCTAGCAAACTCTCACAAAACTCAGATTTATAGTTTGTGAAATGGTGGACTTTCATCTCCTCTGTCCTTGGGCTGTGTTTCTTGTGGCCTGTATTCAGGTGCAATAGAATGATCAAAGGATGACTGTACTGTCTATTGAGTACCTCCTGGAAGGCTTCTACTACATATTTGGCAATATAAATAAATAATTAAATATAAGAAATTTTGAATCATGTCCTTTGGCCAAAGGCCATTTCAAATATAAAATGTTTATTTCAGAATACTTACAAAAAGTCAGTAGTGCTGCCAGGTGTGCTGGCTCATGCCTGTAGCCCAAGCACTTTGGCAGGCTGAAGCAGGAGGATCACTCGAGCCCAGGAGTAGAAGACCAGCCTGGACAGCATAGTGAGGACCCCATTTATACAAAAAAAGAAAAAATGAGCCAGGTGTGGTGGCACACATTGGTAGTCACAGCTACGTTGAGCGGCTGGGAGTCCAGCCTGCAGCGAGCCATGATCACACCACTGCATTCAGTCTGGGTGACAAGAGAGACCCTGTCTTGAAATTAAAAAGACAGCCAGTAGTGATGCTCCAGTGGAAAACAATGAAGACTTTATGTATTTTCCCTCCCCTACCCAGTCATCATAATTTGTGACTATAGTTGGCTCTCTGCTTTTCTTCTCTCTGTAAAAGTTTGTATTAGAAATAGTTTTCTAATTTCTCTACTTCATAGTTTCTTTCCCCACCCTCTCACATCTAGTTCTTTAATGTTTGGTGAGAATTGTCTTCCTGTTTCCCTTTCATAGCTAGTTTAGGCTCTTAGCATTTCGGATCTCGATTACTGATTGCTAGCCAAGCTTCCTGCCTTCATGTACACCTGTCATATGTAAAGAGAAATGAGTTAATATTTACTGTACAGTTGCCATGTCCCAGGAATTTTACATTTGTTCTCCCTTGTGACTCTGCAAATACTCTAAGGATGTTAGGTGTCATCTCCCTTTACTGACAGGGCAACTAAAGTTTAGCAGATTAAGTAATAGAATTGCTAGTAGGCCGGGTGCAGTGGCTTATGCCTGTGATCCCAGCACTTTGGCAGGCCGAGGCAGGCGGATCACCTAAAGTTAGGAGTTCAAGACCAACCTGGCCAACATGGTGAAATCTCATCTCTATTAAAAAAAAAATGCAAAAATTAGCTGGGCATGGTGGCACACATCTATAGTCCCAGGTACTCGGGAGGCTGAGGTGGGAGAATCGCTTGAACCCAGGAGGCAGAGGTTGCAGTGAGCTGAGATCGCACCATTGCACTCTAGCCTGGGTGACAGAGCGAGACTCCATCTCAAAAAAAAAAAAAAAAAAAAAAAATTTGCTAGAAAATGGTAGAACCCACATTTCTCTGGCTTCCAAAGCCTGTGTTCTTTCTGCTGTATTATGCTTTTTTACAATAACCAGACTAATATATGTTAAATACCATTGTCATCAAGTGGTTACTTTTTAAAATAACCTGTGAGTCCCCTGCTGCCAGGCATAACAGTTCATATGACTCTTCCTGGCTTTCAGCCTCTCATAAGTCCAGGTCCAGCACTGAAAAATTCCTATCTGTGCTCTGTGTGATACTTTATTCTGTGGGGTTTCTCTACCTGAAAGCTCCTGTTTTCTTTAACATACTCACTCTGTCCTTTCTTTTTTATTTTATTATTGTTTTTTGAGATGACGTCTTGCTCTGTCACCCAGGCTGGAGTGCAGTGGTGCAATCTCGGCTCACTACAAGCTCCACCTCCTGGGTTCATGCCATTCTCCTGCCTCAGCCTCCCTAGTAGCTGGGACTACAGGCGCCTGCCACCACGCCTGGCTAATTTTTTTGTATTTTTAGTAGAGATGGGATTTCACCGTGTCAGGCAGGATGGTCTCGATCTCCTGACCTTGTGGTCTGCCTGCCTCGACCTCCGAAAGTGCTGGGATTACAGGCTTGAGCCACCGCGCCTGGCCCATTCTGTCCTTTAAATCGCCACTCAGCACGTTTTCCAGGAAGTCTTCCCTTAGCAAACCCTTTGTTTTCATTGCATGTGTGGTACTTTAGCTTGACTGATTCTGTTCTCACTGACTAAGTGAGAATAATAACACTTAGGTTGGGTTTTTTCTGTTCTAAGAATAATTAATTTGACATAGTATGTTATCTCTTGGGTTCCATAGTTACGGTCTTGGTTTATTTTACTATTTTGAAAAGGAATGTTACATGAAAAAAATGGCTGTTTTACCTTTTCTGTTTTCTTTTTCTTTAGATGAAAGGTTGTATCAAAGTTCTTAAGGACCAACCTCCTAATAGTGTAGAAGGTCTTCTAAATGCTCTCAGGTGTGTATATGTACGCATACATATGTACAGAAAAAATCTGTAAGGAAAATGGTTTATGTAAAGAAAATGCATTAAGTGTGAATAGGATATAAAAATAAGTGTTCAAGCCGGAAATATGAAGATCCTATTTTGTTTACTGATAATCTCGCTTCCAAACACTGGTGACAGTATTTACGATGAGGAATGTGTGGGACACATGACAATAGCAGCTTCATTTTCTGGTTGAAGATTTTGGCTTTTACTTGTTGCTTCTCTTGAAACAGAGATTGCTTGTTTTTTTAATAAAAGTATTATATGCCAGTTATAAATAAAATTCAGAAAACATAAGAAAATGTAAATAAAAAGAAATAATGTAATCTCACCATTTTGAGATAAGCCACTATTAGCCTATAGCCTTCCAGAGTTTTTTCTTTACATATGTAGATAATAGCTCTATGTAGTAGTTATCTTTTTACAAAATAATATCATACAAAGTGGCTTGTAACTAACTAGCTCTTTCCTCTTAATAGAACGTAATTACATTTGTGTTCAGACTTGTGTTCTGTTACTTTTACGTATTTCTTATAATAAAAATTAAGTAGTCATTATTTAATGTCTGTTCTTAGATTAGTTTTACTTAATTTAGTTGCTCAAACTTCTGCAAATGCTAGAACATTATTTATTTCTTTATTTAGAGATGGAGTCTTGCTCTGTCACTCAGGCTAGAGTACAGTGGCACAATCTTGGCTTATTGCAACCTCCGCCTCCCGGGTTCAAGTGATTCTGCTGCCTCAGCCTCCCGAGAAGCTGGGATTACAGGCGTGTGCCTGTATTTTCTAATTTTAGTAAAGACGGCATTTCACCATGTTGACGAGGATGGTCTCAAACTCCTGACCTCAAGTGATCCACCCACCTCGGCCTCCCAAAGTGCTAGGATTACAGGCGTGAGCCACTGTGCCCAGCTGCTAGAACATTTTTAAATGAAAATCTCAGTATTTTATAATACTTGACTACAGAGATTTAATTGGTAGTATTCACATGACATAAAAGATGACATCCCATTACTTGATTTTTTGGGGGTTTAAACACAAAAATTACATGAACACAGAAATATTTATAGAATGATATTTACCACATAAAATGTAGGCTGTATCATTTCAGCTAAGTGGAACTGTCAAATGATTTTATTAAGATTATGAAAAAATGTTTAAAAATAGTTTTTAAAAGATTATGAAAAGTGTTGCATAAGCGGTTACTGCCTGAATAAAGGTGATCTATTCTAAATGAACATCAGCAAGATTAAGGAACATAATTTAAAATCCTTATAATGTCAAAGTATTGTAACCATAAGCTTAGTTTTTAGAATTCTGTATTCTTGGGGTTTTTACAATGCATACTTCAGTGGTTTTGCCAATATTTAATGATATCATGAGTCTTTCCTCCTTGGTTTCTTTCTGAATACTCCCTGTGTCTCAGGCAGCCTGATTTTTCTCCCAAGCCTTTGTCTTTTTGATTGGTCAGGCTCTTTGAAGCCAGCAAGTGGCAGGAAATCTTTTTCAAAAACTTAGAGGTAATTGAGATCTAGGAGGTTTTAGGATTCTTTCTTCAGCTTGAAGGTAGTATGCCTAACTCAGAATCCTACTTTTCACTTTAAGGGTAGTTCAGTTTCCTTTTCCTTAGAATGAAAGCAGAGGAGGGCAGTGATGGCGAGTAAAAGACAGGGTTGAAGTCTCCCACAAAGTAATCTGTGTTTGAGGGAAAGGGGAGGGAAGGAAAGCAACATGGAGGCAAGAGTCACCTGTCAGTTTGGCACATTTTCTTTCCTTTGTAATAGATAATGGAAACTAGAAAATAAAATGTTGCTTTTAGAAACAACAAAATCAGGTCTGACTTGGGACTCAGGCACTTTCCTTTTAAACAAACACCCTAGCTGATATAGATAATGCTGATACTTTGAAAAATATTTCTTAAAGTAAATCCATCTAGCCTTTAATATGTTTTACTGAGAGCACATGTTTAGAAAGCATTTTGTAACCCCAAAAATACTACACGAGTGTTACACACCTCCACCAAATAGAACTTAGTGACCAAAACATTGTAAATGAGAGAATAATTCCATATGCATATATATGTTTGTTTTGAATGCTTTTCTGTAGTAATTATTTATATAGAACTTCCTGTGCTACTAAGAGAAGGCATCAAGTCATATGTCCATTTTACAGGTGGAAAAATGGAACCAAATACATTTAATCATAAGAGGGAAAGAAAGAGAACTGGGAGTTCAGGTTCAGTAGTAGATAATTGTCTTCTTTATTAAATTTAAGAGTAAAGGTAAATAATTGGGTTTTTTTTAGTAGAACAGTCATGCATTTGGAAAAAATTTTGTTTTTGTGCACAAAGGAAAGTAACGCCATATATCTTCATGTTTTATTTTAGCATGTATTAGATAATATTGGCCTTTTCTTGATAAATGAGTGTGGTGATGCAGTGTGCTCTGGATTGGCTTTGTCCAAAGAAGGAAGCTAAGATCACATCCCATAGAAGGAGCGAGAACTTGCGTCATGGGTAGAGAGGAAAACACTTACCACCCTTCAAATAGTATAGTACATTGCTGAGTAGTGATCCTTTTAATTACTCTGCAGTAGAAATTTTACTGTGCACATTACTTGGCTCTTTCCACTATTTAGTTGTATAAAGAAGTAGGGGAGAAATAAATGAAGAAATGGATTTTGAGAACTTCGAGACATCTGTAGGATTTCATGTAATTGTGTATACTTTACATAAAGAGAACAAAAAGGTTAAATCCTTGCAACATCACTTAGCATTTAATGTAAATATTCCTTTATGGATTTTTTTTCTTCCCAACCTGGCTGCTTATTTTGTCTTCCTTCCACAAATATTTGTTGAGCACCAGTTATGTGCCAGGCACTCTGATACCTATTCAAAAACATGAGAACAGTTTGGGAGTGACTTCTCAGTAACATTGTAGACAGTATATCAGGTACTTAATAAGCATTCTTCAGTTTTTAAATTAATTTGAAATGAACCTAATAGGAATTGGGTTTAAATTTCTTAAACACAGAAAGATGATCTGTGTGGACCTGCTGAAAAGGATGTAGTCCTAGCTGGGCATGGTGGCACACACCTGTCATCCCAGCTACTTGTGAGCCCAAGGCAGGAGGATTACTTGGGCTCTCAATTGCCCAAGCGCAGGAAGTGAAGGCCAGCCAGGGTAATATAGCCAGACCTTGTCTCTAGAAAAAAAGATCTAGTCCTTAAGATTATATGTGGAATTCTTGTGAACCAAATTAGTCTGTCTGGGTTATCTCCAAAATACAGTCCACACCCACACATTGAACACCTGTCTCCATTGCTGCTGTAATCTGGCCCAAGCCTTGACATCTGATCATCTCACACTTGGTGCTCAGTAACAGCCCCCTTATTTAATGCCTCCCTGCTGCTCCTTCTGTTCCCCACAGCTCGCCCTCAACAGCCAGAATGATAAAACTTAAGTGACATCACACCCCTCTCCTGCTTAATATGCTCCACTGGCTTTTATTGCACTTAAAATAATCTCCAAACTCCTTACTATGTGTGGCCTCTGGGTGTCCATGTGAGATGGTTTTTCCCTGTCTCTGTATGTAGCCTCTTCTTGTTATACTTCTCTTCTTGTTATACTCCTTTGCCGCTAGGCTTTACCTTGTCACTGGTATTAGTGTATCATTATCTTTCTCCGTCTGCTGGGTTGTAAGCTCCTTGAACAGTGCCTGAGACATAGGCTTGCTTAGTGGATTTTTACTGCTTAAGGGAATACTGTCGTGAATCTTTATGATTATCACTCTTGTTTTTTTTAATTCTTACGTTGGATTTGCATGCATGTAGCAAAACACATGCCTAGAAATAAGGCACTTGGAGAATTGAGACATTTTAGAGATATAACAGCTGTAGTAATTGACACATCTTAAATACAGAATAGAACAGGGGTTGGAATACTTTTCTGTGAAGAGCCAGGGAGTAAGTAGATATTAAAGGCTTTGTGGGCCACATGGTTTCTGTCATAGCTCCTCACCTCTGCCACCATAGCAGGAAGGTAACCATAGATGGTACATGAATGAATCAACATGTGTGTTTCAATAAAATTTTTGTATGTAAGCACTGAAATTTGAATTTTGTAGAATTTCCACAATAACACATGAAATAGTACTATTTCTTTTTTTTGTCTTCCTTCCCCCACCCCACCCCCCATCCAAAAGGTTAAAAAATAGACTTAGCTCACAGTCCATACAAAAATTGGTGGTTTGGATGGCCCATGGGCTATAATTTGCCAGCCTCTGGGGTAGAACAGCATTTTCTTCTGAGTGAGAAGTTACAGCTAATTGTTTACTTGAGAGGTTAACCAATCATCTCAGCAATGTAGTTGTAACTCAGTTAAATAGCTACTGGCTATTCAGTTGGAAAGGGAGTGAGGATGACAGGCTGTGCAGAACCTGAACAGGGTTAAAGCTACAATGAGAAGCCATCATTTTGAGAGTTTTGCTGAGACCAATTTCCCATCCTGTCATAATTAGAGAACCTGATACTGATTCTTTTTTAAGTTCCTAAAACCGATCTTTTTTCTTTCCTCTTTTTAGGTACACAACAAAACATTTGAATGATGAGACTACCTCCAAGCAAATTAAATCCATGCTGCAATAACAATTCTGGAATAAGCACCTGCTGTAGACAGAAGACAGTATTCTGCAATGACTGAGAATGCACAGTTTTTTAGTGATTGCAATTACTATCTCATTTATTCTTGCTTTTATTTCTTTCCTCTGTTCCTCTTCCCTCTTTTTTAATCATGTTCTTGTTCTTAAGACTTCTTTTCTGTGCCAAAATTAGTAAAGTTACACTCTGAAGGGATATCATCCTTTCAAACAGGCCATCTAAGGCAGCTAATTATGCATTGCATTGGGGTCTCTACTGAGAAAAATTCTGTGACTTGAACTAAATATTTTTAAATGTGGATTTTTTTTGAAACTAATATTTAATATTGCTTCTCCTGCATGGCAAAACTGCCTATTCTGCTATTTAAAAACCCTCAATGACTTTATTTTCTACTGCCGCCTTTTTCATGTGCAACCAAAATGAAAATGTTTAAATTAACTGTGTTGTACAAATGGTACCCAACACAAACTTTTTTTAAATTAGTAATACTTTTGTTTAAAGTTTTAAGTTTGCATTTTGACTTTTTTTGTAAGGATGTATGTTGTGTGTTTAACCTTTATTAACTAACGTTAAAAACTGTGATGTGTGCGTAGAATATTACGTATGCATGTTCATGTCTAAAGAATGGCTGTTGATGATAAAATAAAAATCAGCTTTCATTTTTCTAAGTGTGGCTTGGTTTACTGATGTTTTGTTTTTAGGCTTCTAAAGTTTTCCCCATGTATGTTTTTATGGAATGCATATATACATTACATGATTTTTTCTTTTAGGGGAGAGCCGGGTCTTTTCATTAGAATTTTTATCATTGTCTATGTATATAATTTTAATTGCCTTTAAAATTTTGCTAAGTATATTAAGACCAGTGATCTTTTCATTAACTGGACTTTTATTCTTGATTTACTCTTGTATGGATGTAGTAATGAAAGGAAAACCGCATCCTAGCTTGATTCTCCATTTCCAGGAGAGTGGGTAGCAACGTGAAGGCAGAGTAGCCCTTTAATCCTGGGAAGAGAGTGATTATAAGAGGGACTTCCTAGGAGAAAAGCAGAGGCCATGGTCTCACTAGTGGAGGAAAACTAACATGTTTTTCAGTCTGAGATCATAAAACCTAAATCATGAAATCTAAATCTCACGGTTGGAAGAAACTGCTTAAAGGTTGTCTAGTTCAACCATGCCAGTGTTTTAAATATTTAGGAATATCCGAGGTATAATGCAATTAAAATGCTTAACCATGGAAGAGAATCACAGAGGCTTTCAGACCCTTCTGTATTAATAGGGCCAGATCATGGCACACACAGCTTCTCAAGATCACATCCCTGCTGATCTCTCTGGCCCTCCCGCTCACTGCTCCCCCACTTCACACCCTGTTCTGCAGCCAGGCCCTACTGCTTGCTATTCACAAATTGTCCCATGCGATGTCACTTCCTTAACTCTGGTCTGGCTGGTACCTGAACCTGACATTCCCTTCCTCCCCTTGTGACCATCTAATGAACGCCAACTTTCATTTTGAAGGGTTATCTTCTGTTACCTCCTTCATGGAGCCTTCTGGATAACATTGGCCATATCCTTCTAGGCATCTTCTAAGAATAGTGTAATGGGCTAAATAGTGACCCCCAGGAGATACATTCACTGGGAACCTGCACGTGTGACCTTATTTGGGAAAAGTTTTTGCAGATGAAATCAAGGATCGGGAAATGAGATCAACCTGTAGTAGGATGGGCCCTAAATTCAATGACCAGCTATTAGAAAAGAAGGGGAAAGAGACGTACAGAGCTGAAGGCCATGTGAAGATGGAGGCAGAGATTAGAGCAATGCATCTATGAGCCAAAGAACCGTAAGAATTGGAAGTCGCTAGAAGCTAGGAAAGAAGCTTGTCACAGATTATCTCAGAGTCTCGAGAAGGAACCAACCCTGCCAATATCTTAATTTCAGATATCTGGCCTCCAGGATTGTGAGGGAATAAGTTTCTGTTGTTTTAAGCCATGCGGTTTGTGGTATTTTGGTATAGCAGCCTTAAGAATCTGATACATGTATCTCGTAAAACATCTCTGATACTTACCTGCACTTGTGGCTGTGTTGTCTGATTCTATAAGAGCCGTAGTATCTGGATACTAGAGAGTCTGCGAACTTGAGAGAAGGGCCATGTCTGATTTTCCTTCAGTGTCCCAAGGAAGGATCTTGCACAGTACCCGGATTTGGAGAGGTGCCAAGTGAATGCTTCGGTGGACTGAATGAATACAAATCAAAAATAATGATGCAGCTGGAATGGATGCAGTAAGATTGCTGTGGCCTATGCAGTTCACATAGTTCACACTCTGCATGTTGAAGAATAAGTGGACAAATCTCTTTAGCCCAGGGGCTAGCAAACCGGTCTTTGGGCCAATTTATCCACCATCTGTTTTTGTACAGCTTGTGAGCTAAAAATGGTTTTTAAAAAGGTTGAATACAATGAAAAGAATAATATTTTGTGGCATGAAAAAAGCATATGAAATTCAAATTTTAGTGTTCATAAATAAAATTTTATTGGAACCTAAGCCTCACTCATTTGTTGACACATTTACCGAGACTTTTGCACAACAACAGCAGAATTGAGTTGTGACAAAGACCATATGGCCCTCAAAAGCTAAAATATATTTACTGTCCGACCCTTTCCAGAAAGAATGTTCCTCTCCCTCCACTAGATCCAAGAGTAGGGTTATCTGACAACGTAGTGTGATGGAAGCTGAGGGCTGCAGTGTCATCGAAGGACACAGCACTGCGGCCACAAGATGATTCAACTTCAGATCTAGTACTTGCCATTCAGATTGCCAGAGAGAGCAAGCAGGCATCTTCTCTGCCAACTCTATCTGCAGTTCTCATGTCTGTCCTTATTCAGGGGTAGGCATGGAGTCAGCCAGTGTATTAGTCCATTTTCACACTGCTGATAAATACACATCCAAGACTGGGCATTTATGAAAGAGAGGTTTAATTGACTTACAGTTGCATGTGGCTGGGGAGGCCTCACAATCATGGGAGAAGGTGAAAGGCACATCTCACTTGATGGCAGACAAGAGTTTTTGCAGAAAAACTCCCCGTTAACCATCAGATCTCATGAGACTTACTGTCATGAGAACAGTACGGGAAAGTCCTGCCCTCATTATTCAATTACTTCCCACTGGGTCCCTCCCACAACACGTGGGAATTCAAGATGAGATTTGGGTGGGGACACAACCAAACCTTGCCAGCCAGGATTAATTACTGCCCACTGGAGGAAGGTATGAGTCTGCTCTGGTGTAGGAAAATCCTTTGAACCCCAGTCTTGTCTCTAAGACGCACCTGGTTAGTGTGTCTCTACTCATCCTATGCCCCAGCTTTTCTTCACAATTTAGAGAAATCCATTGCCTCATCTCTTCCACCAAACATGCCCGTAATTAACTCACCACTGCCCCATTTCCACAGCCCTCAACATAGATAAGTGGAACTTCTCAACTGGCTGGCTTCTCACTTAAAAAGATTTGGGCTAAGAAGCATTCTGGACCATTTTAAGATTGCTGCAAGTATTTTAGACTTGTCATAAGGATTAATGACATTTGTACTCAAATCTAGGTCTTTTGAGTTGAAATGTCATTCTGATTCCATTTGAGATTGCAGTTAACTGCAGTTTTGAAGTTCTTACTGTTGGAAGCACATTTCAAACTTCAGAGTAAGATTCAATCATAGAAGATGCAATGCAAAGATCTGTGGGTCAAGGGTCAGGAGACCCAAGCCATTATCTCTTCTTTGAAACTCTTATTTTCCTCATCAGTAAAATGAGAGAATTGAAACAGATGATCTCTAACACTGATTCCATGTCTTATATACTGTCTGCAAAGGCACTAGTAGTGTGAATACTTAAAAGACAGGCTTTAGGCAGTGGAGTGTAGTTTATTCTGGTCTCCCTCTTTAACTCCATGTGACTTTGGGCGAGTCTCATGTGTCCTCGTAACAGGGAATACTCAAAATACCTACCTCTCCAGGGTGGTCCTGAGAATTGTGCTAGTTTAATGCCCACAATGTCCTATGCATATCAGAAGTTTTATTCTGGCCATCATGACGTTTGACTACATTAAACGCAGTAGGTATTATATCTATTAACATGCATTGTTTCCCATTCTAAAGTAATCTACAGTAGTAGTTTCACTACTTTCCTCAGTCCATGTGGGTGCTAGGCAAACCTGCACAATTTTTTGTTTGTTTTGTTTTGAGACAGAATCTCGCTCTGTCGTCCTCCTGGCACATACAGTGAAATGTTCTGGTTGGATGTATCTAGGATGAGTCTCTAATCTCCTCTCCTCTGAGCTGTGGTGGCATTTTGTTCACTCGTCTGTGATAGCACTGGACATTGAAGCAAGCATCTTACTGCAGTGGGTACCAGGGAGCCACCCAGTGCACAGGACCCAAGGCCCACAATATATATTGAAGGACCATGAAAACATTTCACTATATTTTAAAAGCAGAAGGAAAAAAAATACACTTGTAGGTCTAAGAGAATGTCTTAATGCCTAAGAAAAAAAGTATTAATGTATTTATACCAACACAGTCTTGTGATAATTTTTCATATTTTTCTAGAGGAAAGGTCCCACGAAGGCCAAAGTGTTTGGGGTCCCTGAGAGTCACAAGCATGGGGAGCAGGAGGCAACGACCCAAGTGGGGCCTGTTTCTGGGGGTGCCAGAGGTGTGCCCGCTGGGCAGTGGGGAGGAGTCAGGGAGGGGACAGCTGCGCAGGTGCCACCCAAAGTCGGGTTCCGCCTCAGGTGGGCGGGACCAAGGGAGAGGGTCTCCAAAGGCCACAGGGCCAGAGGGGTGGGGTGAGGGCAGGGATGGGGAGGCGGCTACTCTAATGCCCCTTGGCCTGCCCTCCTGAGAGGGGCCACCTGAAGTACCACCTAGGTCCGGGCCTCTGGCAACCCTGTACCTGAGGCTCTGGGTCGCTGCTCACGAGCCCAGGCTGTGCCCCACACGGGACCTTGCTGGCACCCCTGGCCAGGCCACTGGAGGATTGCTTGAGCAATCCTCCAGTAGGTAGGACCACAGGCAGCCACCACCACACCCAGCTAACTTTTTTTATTTTTTTGAGATGGAGTCTCACTCTGTCATCCAGGCTAGAGTGCAGTGGCATGATCTCGGCTCACGACAACCTCTGCCTCCCAGGTTCAAGCAATTCTCCTGCCTAAGCACCCTGAGTAGCTGTGATTATGGGCCGTCCAGCTAATTTTTGTATTTTTAGTAGAGACAGGATTTTGCCATGTTAGCCAGGTTGGTCTCGAACTCCTGACTTCAGGTGATTCACCCTCCTCGGCCTCCCAAAGTGTGGGATTACAGGTGTGAGCCACTGAGCCCAGCCACAGCTAATTTTTTATTTTTTGTAGTGATGGGCTCTCACTGTGTTGCCCAGGCTGGTCTTAAACTCCTGGGCTCAAGTGATCCTCCTGCTTGGCCTCCCATAGTGCTGGGATTATAGGCATGAGCCACCGCACCTGGCCACAATCAATCTGAGAACATTTCATCACCCCAAATAGACCCTCCTCCCTCCT